AAAGTCATATAGAAAAATGACCAAAATAAAAATAGATCTTGATGTGTTTTACAACTTTGTTCTTGACAATTTTTTTGATTTCAAATCATTTACTACCTGAAAAATTATTTGAATTTCTTATTTTTAAAATTCAAATTTTATATAGTTCAATCAAACACAGATGGCGAAATGACCAAAAGAAAAATAGTAGATCTCAATGTGTTATACAACTTTGATTTTGACAACCTTTTCATACGAGTTGATTTAGTGCCGTAAAAATCTATCCGAAATTTCAAATAAAAATTTTCCCTCCTCACCACTTCAAAAAATTTTCAATCTCTCCTATCCTCTCTCTTTCCCCTTGATATTTTCTATCTCTCCTCCTATTCCTCTCTCTCACTCACTCTTTTCTCTCATCACTCTCTTTTCTCTCCTCTCTCTCTCGGTCTCGGCGGCACCGTCGACGCTCCCCTTCGCGTGCGGCCGCTCCTCCCCAGTGGTGGTGGTGGCGGCGGCGTCGACCCCGACGACGACGACGACGACGACGTCGATCCCGACGACGACCACGACGACGACGACGAGTGGGTGGCCACGACGATGACGATGACCCCGACGACGACGACGAGTGGGCGTCGACGCGGGCAGCGGCGCCACCAGCATCCCCGCCTCACCGTCGCCAACGACGACCACGAGGAGCTGGGCCAGATCCGGCGGTGGCGGGCCTCGTCCTGCCTGGATCCGGAGGCGGGAGCGGCCAGCGGTAGCCGGAGCTCGAGCGGGCGGCGACGGCTGGAGCGGGAGCGCGGGCGGGCGGCAGCGGAAGCGGGAGCGCGGGCGGGAGGGCGGCGGCGGAACCGGGGCGGCTGGCGAGCTCGGGCGGCGGCGCTAGGGTTTCTTTTTTGCTTTTTTTTTTATTTTTGGAATTTTATTTTTTTTTCGTGATTTTTTCTCTTTGCATGTGATCGTCTTAAGCTCCCGCATGCGAAAATCGGATTTTTGCATGCGGTTGCGCCAGCCGCATGCAAAGATCACGATCTTCGCTGACGATTTGGTGCATGCGGTTGTGCCAACCGCATGCGAAAACCCTTCTCCCCCGTATGCAAAAACCATCTTTGTAGTAGTGATTTGACCATACATGGGTCATTAGCTCTCATATGGTTTTGGTCAGTGTTAAGAAAGTTATCCTCAATCATTAGGACTATAATCATAGCTCTTATAAGGTGATGTTCATTTAAGCTAATTGGTCCAGCAACCAGAGCAAAGTAACTCCCGAGCCCTGTTTTAGTGTTGAAAGTTCATGTAAACAATCTGGGATCACCTATTTGTCGATAAATTTTCTTCTAAAAATTTGACAGATGTAATTACAGTACAATCGTAGCGTAATTACACTATAACTTGCATGTAATTACACTGTAACTGCAATGTAATTTGTATGTAACTTTCACATAATTTTAAACCGTTAGATCTATTTCAAGTTTTTTGTAGGTTAGGAAGAAAAAAGTCACAACACACACGTGAGAGGATTTGTTCCCATGACCTCTATTTTACCAAAATAACATTGTTGTCGAAACGACAACCGCATACGTCGAAAGACGTGGTTACTTAACAGTGGTTGGAAAGAAACGAAGTATATTGATTTCTTGAATTTTCTCCCCTGTATTACATGGCCCTAGGGGGCTATTTATAGCCCCGTTACAGATTCTCACTTCTAGGGTCTAGGGTGTACTGAGGAATTTACATAGTTGCCCTTATGAAAGGGACGTTTACAGGGTTACATAACGTAAAGGGAGGCTCATGGGCCCTTGATGGGCCATCAGGCGATCGCCGGCCCTATGGCCTCTAAGCTTGGTGGGCCGAGAAGGCTACTTCGGCCCTCGCGGGGGCGAACTGGACCTGGCGAAGCCGTCCTTCTCTGGGCTGGATGCCGGGGCGAACCGGTCCTGGCGAAGTCATCCTTCTTCGGCATGGCGAAGTCGTCCTTCTTCGGCGTGCACTCGTGCGACCCTTCGCCTCGCATCATCCTTGGCTCGTGGTCTTCGCCATGGGTTTCGGCAGATTCGGTCGAAGGGACTCATGCCATCCGCCAACAAACATGTTATGGAGAGATATTTAAAAGTTGCATACAAGTTACATTGTAGTTGTGGTGTAATTACATTGAAATTACAATGTAATTACACTACGACTGTATTGTAATTACATCTGTCAAATTTTCAGGAGAAAATTTGTCGACAAATATATAGCAAAATTGAACAATCTTGATTGTAATCTATATATAGCTGTGCAATAAGCTTTTTTGCTGCAACCAAAACTAATTTACATGCTCGTCATTGTTGGCTGATTTTTTTATAAGCAGGAATACAGCCTCAACAACCTATTGTGACAGCCAGGAGCCTCACAAAACAGGATTTTGCATTTTGCAGCAACAACCTATTGTGATTTTGCAATTTTGCTTTCTGTCACAGGTTAGCTCAGAGATTATTATTATTATTATTATTATTATTATTATTATTATTATTATTATTATTATTATTTAGACTTTTTTATTTTTTTTAATTTTATTACTAGATCGTTCCAAAACGTATTTCCAAATCTGAACCTTTTGACCACGTCAGGCCGTGGCCAAATAATTCTACCATGCCACAAGCAGCTGGCGTGGCAGCGTTGTCCTGCCATGCCAGCCTGCCACGCCAGCCACTCTCAATTAGCATGGCCAAAAGGTTCAGTTTTTAGAAATACTTTTTGGAATGGTTTATTACCTGTTACAAATTTCTATTGACTATCATATACGCTGCTAAAACTGTGGAAGCCCAGAGAAAATAGATTTAGCAAACTAATGTAGTACACTACTAAAAAAACGTTTTTCCAGGCGGTCAAAACACATTTTCGCAGGTGGCAAAACCTTCCGCCTGTATCCAAACGACTGTAAAAATCCCTAATTTTTACAGGCGGACCAAAACAGGCAGTAGTTCGAATCTTCCCAAGAGCTGCAGGTGCTATTTTCGCATGCGGGGCTACTGTAGCCCCGCCTGCGAAAATATCCTCAGCGCCAAAAAAATTTCCCGCCAACCCCACCCCTCCCTAGGGTTTCAAATCACAAATCATAAATTCTCACAAATCTCATCCAGGAAACAAAATCCAATCACAGACATTATAAACTTGCAACACAAAAGCATTGGATTCAAATCCACAGCAAGTTAACATCAATGAACATGTAAACTTAAAAAAACACAATGTCATCGTCGCCGGCGAACTCCTCTATTGCATGTGGTGGCCGCCGCCGCCTCCCTCCCCCCTTCGGCCGGATCTGGGAGGGGAGTGTTGGGCAGCGAGCCAGCGACGCGGCCGGCGCTAGTCGTCGTTGTCGCGCGGTAGGGCTGTTGTCGTCCTGCAGTAGTCTTCGTCGTCGTAGCCAACGCCCTCTGCCCGCGCCACCGCCGACGCCCTTCCCCTCCGCCGGATCTGGGAGGGGAGGGGTCGAGGGAAGGGGCAACGACGCGGCCGGCGGTAGTCATCGTCGTCATCGTCGCTCGGTAGTCGTCGTCGTCATCGTCGTTGACGCGCGGTAGGCCCCGTCCCCTCCCCCCGCACCGCCGCCGACCTCCTCCGCTCGCGCCTCCGCCTCCGCCCCCACCCCCCCCCCTCCCCCTCCCGCCGGAAGGAAGGAAAGGGAGGGGAGGGAAACGAGAGAGAGGGGGGAAGGAATGAGTGGTGGGGAGAGGATAAGATGGTAGAGGAAAAGATAAGATAGGACTTAGATTTTTTTTAATGTATTTTCTAGGCGGACCACTTAAGAGGTATTTTCGCAGGCAGACCTCTTAAGTGGTCCGCCTAGAAAAAATGATTTTCACAGGCGGATGACGAAAATCCACCTCGGTTTACATTTTCGTAGGCAGATATTTGGCTGCGAGGATCATACCCGTGTGGAAAAATAAAAGGCCAATGTCGCTAAAAGTCGTTTTCTAGTAGTGGTAACGCTGACCAAATAGAGTAAGAGAGTTTTAAATGATTGCCCTTTTTAATGAAACGTGCACGAAATGTGTGTGATCAGCTTCTTGTTGCATGGGAATCATCGGAGTCCATTTTGAATTACATGTGCAGGTATTGCATGGGTTCTTTATTTTCCAGGAAAGATGAGCATGCTCTACTTATTTATTTACATCTTATATAATTGGACTTATTCTATTTTCACAAATTTTTGGAGCAAATTAGGGATCACAACTTAATTTGGCTAATGTTGATAGTCTGGATTTGAAAATGTCCAGTGGAGAATAATTTAAATTCAGGGAGTAAATTGTGCAAACGTGAATGTAATCCACTAATGACTTGTTGATTGTTATTTTTTAACTAGATGCCGATGGTGATGTATAATCCAATCCTTTTCCTTTCTCACCAGCTGTTGCAACGATCAGGTGCAAGTGCAACAAGTAGCAATCTGAATGTTTATCTGTGTTGAGCTCGAATTAGGAGGGACTAGAAAAAAAAGAGGATCGAGGAGACGAGGATCATATGTCGGAAGACATATAGTATTAGATTAGAACAGCTAATGACAGACTGACAGTGGGCCACACATCATGTGTATTTGCCTCATTAGAGCAGGTACAATAGCAGGCTATAAGCCAGCTATAAACATATTCTACAGAGATAACGGATGAGAGAGAAGAGCAGCGGGCTACAGATCTGTAGCCAGCTACGGCACGAACTCCAAGATATAATGTGTGTATGACAAGTGGGACCAGATAATTATAGTATAGTAAACAACTATTATATAAATTGGCTATTACATTAATTATAAATGTTTTGGAGCTAATAGTGGACTATACTATTAAACTTGCTCTTACGTTACCGGTAATGACCATGCAAGCACATGGTAGCAAACAATACTGGTAGTTTAATCTTCTCTTTGACAGCTAAAAACTTTTAAATCATATAGCAAAATCACAAACAGTTTGAACCAATATTTCCTATTCAAAATATACGATAAAACAAATCTAATAATAAGCATATCTGAAGATCGCTCGATATTTGAATTTGGTGATAATTAAGACAAAAATGAACTTTTTCCAAACAAAAGACCTCAAGTCTGATAAATTAATTACAACCGATCGGTACGAATGAAAACATATAAAGTCTGCAGAGCCAACACTTTGCGACAAATAAAGTCTTACAGTACGATTAAATATGACTGATTCAAGCCAAAGTACTTAGCAGACAACTAAACTACAGCAGAAACAGTTTAGGGATCGCGACCAAAAACTATTACTGTTCATCTCAGGAATCATGCTCCTTTTTGCTGTTACACTCTTCTTTCAGTAGCTATTTTCTTCAGACCATTCTGCCAGTCATTGTCTTTTACCATCGACCTCAAGTCTTGCTGAAGGTTGTTAACACGCATAGCAACCTTTAAGAAATATCCAGCGCGATAGAAAAGATCTTCATGAATAATCTCTTGACTACCATCTTCCTTCCTGGGCTTCTTGGGCCAGAATTTATACTCAATATCATCAACAACGATCCCTAAAACTTGCCCATTCAGATTAAAAACTGGACCTGTGATTAATCTGCTCACAAGGTTCGGACTTGTGTCTCCATATCGGCATGCGAAAGTGAAATAATCCTCAGAACCTTTGTACACACTTTCAGAGCTATCGCTTGCTGCTTCAAGTGACCTATGTATAATAAAACCGGGCATGTTGTGTACGGAATATTTTGACTCAGGGGCGATAGCAACCGCATATGAATGATCAACATCACCTTCAAAGAACTCCACCGTCTTGGAATTGGAATGATAATCAGTCATCAAGATGCATAATTCACATTGTCCGCTTGCACTTTCTTGTACATCTTGTTTTAAAATGAGGGATGCTGACTGTTTAAAACCATCGGAGAAACGGACAGACAGATTCGCAGCAGATGAAGTAATTGAGGACTGGGTGAGTATGAAAGTTTTTTTTTATCACTGAAAATAATCGAACCAATACAGTAATAGTCGATCCGTCCGACTTGTTCCACTAACACAACACTTGGAGAGACATGTTTGAAGACCCTACGAAATTCATTCTCCATATTCTCCATTAGTCCTATACAAAACAGAAAATCATATCAACTAATTATCTCATAAACTAACAACACAATAGCAATTTATCCCAAAAGCAATATTATATATTAGTCCTATACAAACAAAACAGAAGATAAGGTGCTCTCTTTGAGCTCGCGGAGTCCCAAGTCCCAACCCCAGCCCTTGAACAAAGAACACTACAAGGCGCACCGCAGCTCGCCGCATCCGGCAGGTGCCTGTTGGTCGCGGAATGGAGTTTTGAGGAAAGTCAATGGCCAAATATAGTTGCTACACACAGATCTACGGTTCTTCATTGAAATGCAGTTTGGGGGCAAAATTAGAGCAAAACACCATCACAAGATCAAACACCCAAGCTGAGAAAAGAAAATTAACGAAGTGATGAGTGAAGAGCACAACTTACGCGGCAGATTGACCTCCTTCCCTGTCTTCCGCCGAAGCTATCTCTCCACCGGTGAACTGAAACTTGGAAGAACTTGGAAGAGAGGGACGGTGGGGAGGTGGCGACTACACAGATGGCGGCGGGGCGAGACCGCAAGACACTTTAGGGTTGGTGTCTCCGTGGCTGAGGGGCGTCTACCTTTACACTCTTGCCGTATTACATGAGTCGAGCGGGCCGTTTTTTACCCGACGACGATTCAGGCTTGTGTGACCTGATCGTGTTGATGTGCTTCATTGACATTTTGACATGGCAAAAGTCTACCCTAACTCCCTCAAATAGGAATAACTTTATTTTTGCCTCCCTAATCTGTTGCACCTTATTAAGCCCCATCTTTTCGCTTATACTTATGCTTATCAGTCAAAATTTGAATTTTCAACCTTAAATTTGGATTTGATTTTGAGGATTTTTCATTGAACTTTATTTTTCAGCATTTGCTTTTAGATCGCTAAGAACACATATATAAAAGTTTTATTTACAAATTAATTTTCGTAGTCAGCTCCCTCAACAATAAAAACCGGGTATAATACCTCCTCCCCTTCCCACCCCCCAAAAAAAAGAAAAAAAATCGAAAAGGGTGCAACTCTTCTGATGTGTCACGTCCTCGGAAACGTCCTGAGGCTCCTCAAATGAGGGTCTTCACTGTGAGTGCCCTTAGATTTGGCAATGCATGACCGGCAAAATAGTGGTGGCCTGACATATATTGGCAACTCTTATCACAGAGGGGAGAGCTACATCATTCACATCCGACGCTTAAACTCTTCAGAAATTCTCAGCAAACAAAAGATTTGCCTTGGATTCTACAATCTACAATTCTACATTAGTGCACGCGGTTAACCATCCATACTAATAGTGTCAACTACGAGAAGAGTGTCAGCTGAGTAGATAGATTACCACCAGAGCAACTCACTTATAAATGCATTACCCTTCCTGTTCATAAAGCACGGGCATAATTGACGGAGCCAAAAATTTGAAGACTAGAGCTAACTTGGGGCTTAACTAATACTATCCCCATTCCACAATGTATGACATTGGTTAGTTCAATTTTAAACTAATCAATGCCAAACAAAAACAAATAGAGTAATTCACTTGTAAATGTATTAGCCTTCCTGTTTATAAAGCACGGGCAACGGAGCCAAAAATTACTATAGAGACTGGGTTTAACTAATACTATCACTGTCCCACAATTTAGAAAAAGTTGTCAACGATAACATTTTTTTTTGAAAGGAATTCTAGCTTTAAAAGCATGCAATAACTATCCGTAAGCTGTCCATCAGCTGAAAAGAACAAGATCTAATAGCTAGCTAACTATTGATAATTTCAAACATTAAAAATTACATAGACAACATATTCCCATGGAAAGAGGACATCAATAAAAATAACAAACAACCATGGGCGATTACATTAATAGAGTCTACACCCATTGAGTCCACATGCCCTTGCAATCCATAGCCAGTCCAATCAATCGTCTAACTCTGAATCATTTAGAGGTTTTACTACAAGTTCTATCATCTTCTCAGTGGTTATTGCAGCATCCTGAAAAAAGAAGTCATAAAATATAATTAGGTGACAAGCAACAGTTAAGTGACTACCTTAAAAAAGAGCAGAAACAACTCACATTTGGATGCAACCAATTCTTCAAGGCCATGTGAACAGTAGTACTTGATCGAGCATACGCAACTTGGCTATTTGTAGACATTGAATATAGTACTCCAATAACTTTATCATCAAACATCACTGCAGATCCTGAGGCGCCATGTCTTGCAGCGGCACTGTAGACAACATCCTGGCTGCCCATCATTCCATTTTGGTTTGCCGGTCTTCTTTAAAACAAATAAAAGATATTAATGTGGCTACTATATAAGTTAGTATAAACTAGACAAGCTAACAAAAAAATAACAAAAAAAAATAATGTGGCTACTATATAAGTTAGTATAAACTAGACAAGCTAACAAAAAAATAACAAAAGAAAATAACTCACATGACTGATCCAGGAGATACTGAGGGGTCCAAGTTTAAAGCAAACTGTGACCCAAGGATATATCCAAGCTGAACGACATTGGCCCTATGCGCCACACCTTCTAAATCACCAAATTGAAGAATTGGGCATTCTCCACTCACTCCATTAACTTTAATAATTGCAAGATCATAACCCTGATGCTCATATAGCAGCTCAGCAACATAATCCTTTGTGTCCCTAGGTAGTCTGACCTTTAAAGCACCAGAGGGGTTACCTGAGATGACATGGTAGCATGTCATCGCAACATAACTTTTCCTTGTTTTACCAATAATAAAGCCAGTGCCGATGCCATCTGATCCCCTTCTGATTAGCACCACGCTTTTATAGTGGTTACTAAATGTCTCTTGAACTTGTCGCTCAATATCCATGGCAACTCAACTGCAAAATAATAAATCCCAATCATGAACCTATAGTGATGTTCATTTTAAATAAAAACGAAATATGAAAAATCAAAGAGGCGCTACAACTAGGAGCAAACATTTATAGATTTATACAATAAGACAACCTTTTGAAACAAAATAATAAAAAGAAAGCAATTAGCAGCATAGTACTGCAACGAGAGAGAGAGAGAGAGAGCTGCTGCAACAGTAGAAATAGCAAAAGAAAAAAAAAACAGCACAATGATAGAATATTCAATGTCTTAACCAAAGAGATCTCGTTGTTTGACCCTCTATATGGAGGTTGGGATGCAAAAATCGCAGCACTGCAGCGGGTCGTTGAGAGTTATGTTGGTCGGAATTCCCAATCTTGGATTGCGAGAGAGATGTGATTGGATCCCTTCTTGGCCTCTTCTCTATGTTACTCGGGGATCCATTTCCATCTCACTTTGTACACCTCCTACCGTACACCCTCCCTCGCTCTCTGGACAACAACCACAATGGCTGGGTACTCTCGCGCCACCCAAATCGAAGACCCCGCTACCCAGATGAGCCCGCCACCACTAGAGCGAGCTCCTCCCAGCAAGACAACCTGTGGGCTGCTGCTTAGGGTGCTAACATCCGGCAGTGTTGGTGCGGTGCTCAATTTTTGCAAGTGTGCATTAAACAAAGTTTGTGCTCCATTTGATCCAGAGGAAGAGAAGAAAAATGAGAAGGGGAGCAGAGCTAGCAAAGCTAGGATTTAAGGAGTAAGGACCCATGCGGTTTAACTTCCTTGCCAAAGCAAAGCAAAGGTTTTCTTTTTTTTTTTTCTGTTCCACCCTACTCCCTCCGTTCCATAAAAAGTTCATCTTTGCCTCCTTCCGTTTGTCCCAAAATAAGCTTCTCCCAGCCCGATCCAAGCTGCAAGCAAGCGGATCTACAGGAGTGAGCTGCTCACCGCCTGATACAAGCTGCAAGCAACTGGATTGAGCTCCTCTGGTAACCGGACGGAGACTGGCATAGCCAGGAATTTATGGTTGACTAGCCCTACTTCACAATTTCACATTACATGCCAAAAATTTTTGAACATTGCAAGTATAAATTTGGTAAAAAGAGATACAAATATAGCAAATAACATCTTATAAAACAAATAATCGACTAATGAAACAAGCAAGTTCAAAAGGTACAAATAATAAATATAGACTAGCCAAATACCTGTGCGTTACACCAGATTCAAAACAGCAACAAACAAATTACATCCGTGTTGCAACAAATATTAGCTTCTTTGTATTAACAAACAGAAAGAAAAATGGCATAGTTTGTTTCAGTATAGATAGATGACTCCAATTGTGCTAACAATATGTCCTTTGATATGATTACAAAATATGTACTCTTCAATGAATTGTGCTGTCTATGTCATTTTAAATTACAATTAAAACCTAAAAAGTTTGTGGGTTTTCTTTAGTTGAATCAAGATGACAAAAGGTAAATCAATATAAAATTAAAGAACTTTAGTTTATATAGTACTTCAAATACCAGCTAGAGAGTAAAGACTACACAACTATTCTACAGAAGTACAGAAAAAAGCTGACCAAGCACTCAGAAACTTATACTAACACCATGGCCCATATTTCAGTGGTGGTGGTGGTGGTGGTTGGCAGAACCACCAGCTCATAGTATAGAAGTATAGATAGTTCAACAGCAATATCCCCATTTCTCTTCATGTTTTACCAATCCTACAAACTACAGCGGCAGCAAGTCAGCATCCCATTCACTAATCACAGATTAGCAAATGGTAGTGGCAATTGGCAGAAAGTTCAAACACAATGACTAAATGGGAATAATGAAGCTATGAGCTAAACTGCTAGAGGTATAACCTGCAGGAGCCGGGTCGCCGTCTCGCCCGCTGGGAAGGACTTCACAGCCACTGAGTCACACGAGCCGGCAGCCGTAGCGCAGAGGGCAGAGAGCAAGAGAAGAGGCTAACGGCGACGCCGCGACGGGCAGAGGCAGGCGGCACTGCGTCAGTCAGCCGGGGGTCCGGCTGTACCGCTGTCCTCGCGTCCCGAGCTCCCAGCGCCGGCGGCCGCGTTGGTCTGTAGCTGTGCCGATGCGGGCGCAGCGGCGGAGGTCTGCGCCTCCGCAGCTCGGGCCGGGTGGACGATGGGATGGGGGAGAGGCGGAGTGGCGGAGAGAGGAGAGAGGAGAGAGGCGAGGAACGGCGGCGCCGTCACGCGCGTGCGAAGCATCAAGCAAGGACGCAGGCGGACGGCGCAACGCTGTAGTAGTAGGCCCTTGCCCTAGCGGCTGCTTTTTGCCCCAGTAATTGGGCCTGAATATGGGGTAACCCTTGCAGCTTGGGGGAAGAATGGAGGAAAAAGTATACCCAAGGTCCCTCAAGTTGTCATCGAGTTGCAAAATCGTCTCCAACCGTAAAACCACGTCTCTCAACTTGAAAAACTGTTCACTTGATACCGGTTTTATCTGGCGTGACTGCTGAGTTAGCGTGGGTCTATATGGGCCCCATGTATCAGGATGCCACGTCATGTCTCTCTTTTCCCTTCTTCTCTCTCACTTCTCTTCTAGTCTGGGTGGGCAGGCCGGCCGACAGGGTGAGACGGGAGAGGAGGAGGTTCGGCGGCCGGTGGCCGGCGACCTGCGATGCGGCAGCGGCGGCGACCACGCGGGAGCAGGCGGGTCGGGCGCCAGATCGCCACTCAATTGTTTGCTTCTCAATCAGTTCTTTGCTCCTCAATCAGCCCTTCAGTCTTCGTATTCTTTGCCTCCAATCCCTCCTCAATCCAAATGCAATGGCTGCCCAAGCATCATGAACTCATTGATCTGGAATATCCACTCATTGATCGATGAGAGGTGCACAAGTGCATGGATAGCTTCATGCATGTCACCATCGGCATGCAGCGCATCGACGACAGTGTCGTTCCCACGATGATGCCTTCCACGGGCTACGAGCTCACCGTCCACGGTCCCCCTGCTGGGATTCTGCTGGCATCACTTCAGTATCGCCGGCTAGGGAATCAATCACGTACTACTACGAGATAGAGTCAGATTCTTGCATTGCTTCGTCGGCGCCGCCGTGCTCGCTATCAAACTCAGCGACCGCTGCTTCATCCTTGCCATCTCTGACGACATAGCGGACTAACCCATTATCCATCTTGCTATTGGCGCAGCAGCGGCGAGGGTGGCCTTTGAGGAAAACGTTGATGAATCCATCAATTTTAATTAAATGGAACGAAGGGCCGTTGGCGTGAACAATTCAATTCAGCCGCAGATTCATCAATTTTAATTAAAAGGAACCAAGGGCCGCTCGCGTGGACAATTCAATTCAGCCGCAAAACGAAGGCCCGCGCGATTAGTCTTTCGAGACACATGCAGAATACGTAAAACTCTTGAGAAAAAACTGAAACGAAATAAGTACGTGCAACTCTTGTGATGAAGGGAGTACAAAGGATGATTACATATTTGTAGCACAAGAAGGGCATGGAAGACCATAGGCTATATGGCCCATCACAGTGCACGCTCGGACGTCCATCACTGGTCGGATGGCCCTCGGGCAGTCGGGCTCAAAAGGCAGAGCACTTAAACACTACTCAGAAACATTAGTAATAATTTATGAAACCAAGCACTATAATACATGCAACACTAACTAGACAATAATCATTGTGATAAAGTTAGAAACTAGGTCTCTCGACGTTAAACAGGTTCACAAGATAGTGATATGGGGATCAATTCAACACAGGATGGCCTCTTGTCTTCTTATTTTAGCTGCAAGTTTACGTTGGACCAGATCCTCAGGAAGAGTCCAATACGGCATAGGAACCGGCCATCTGCCATTCAGTAATTTGCCCACAATGTAATGTTATCCACAAATTTGTACGAATATTTAACGTGATAGTAGTGTAATGCATCATAATACCTATCAGGGTGAACACTATCATCTCCAGCAATCTTCCAATCAAGCACATCAGATGGATTACCATGGCTATGTTCAGCAACAGCCCTATCAAACACAACAAAGAATTCAATGGAAAATTATGATTTGACTGAACCTGCTTCAACAACAATTCAAAATTAATTGTTCTCACAAGTATTACAGGAGCACGTCCTTGAAACATGATAATTTACAATATCCCCTCTGTTTACTTGGATCAAGTTTTTGGCTTTTCAAAGCCAACGTGGCAGAACTTAAAAAATTAACTTCACAAAAGTCACCAAAATGTTAATCTAGTGTAATATTATGATAATTTACTGCATCATTTTATACATTCAAAACATGAATTTGTACAATATCCCCTCTGTTTACTAAAGGATCAAGTTTTTGGCTTTTCAAAGTCAACATGGCAGAACATAAAAAATTAACTTCAAAAAAGTCACCAAAATGTTAATCTAGTGTAATATTATGATATTTTACTGTATCATTTTATACATTCAAAGCTTAACATTTGAAATAATTACTATGGTCAAAGTCAATTGGTTTAACTACATGTGAACATCACTATTTTGTGACTGGAAGGAGCACATCATCAAAGCATTTGAATAACCAAAAAGATCTAGACATACCCTTTTGTCTTAAAATACTTCAGGATCTCGCGAATCTCACACCATGATAGGAATGCGGTGCCTTCTACACCCTCATCGTAGAAGTTCATGCCAACAAAGGTTCCATCGAAACAAAGAAGAGGCCCTCCAATGCCAGCCTATCCAGGTGAAATGGAGAAGTTATAATTGGTAATGCCAATCAAATAATCATAGTTAACTCATATTCTGATGCAACTATTTACTTCAACTGTGTAGTAGACAAGAAAAATAGAAGCTGTTACCTTAGTGGTTGTACATCCAGAGTAACTAAGAAATTTGCAGTCATGTGTGACAACAGTGGGAAATTGTTGCCCTCTTGCAGCCATTAATCTGCCAGATTCGAAGATACGCCCTACAGCTAGTAATTTCCGACAGTTATGCCCATAAGGTTGAATTTTCACTGGTTGGCGAACACAGTGATCCTTCACACTGACTAGAGCAACATTGTAATGTAAATTATAATGTTGTACTGTCCCTACGGTGCGCAGATTATTTGGAAGCAACACTTCAATCTGCAAGCGACACAATTAAAACTCTTAGCAGTTCATCAAATGAACAGGGATCACAGAATATTTAGAAGCACCAACCCTCAAGTTTTCAGCAATCCTGTTTTCATCACTAGAATCCCTAAGTAAGTTCGCTGAAGTCAGAATAGTGGCACACTCGTTCCATTCAATAAAGAAACCCGTGCATGCAAAAGTTCGTTTATCTCCTGGATATCATAATTTTGATCATTAGTTAGTTATGATTAGAGTACAAATATGAAACCGTAAACAGCACAATACTGAAAAATCACCGTTGAATGAAGCAAGTGCGACAGTATTTTCGCATATGCTAGAGGCAACATCTTCACTTAGTTCACTCCAGACACCTTTACCAAATATGTCACCAAAAGGCTCTTCAAAAGTATAAGCCAAAATCATGCCATCTAGTTGAACATACCAAGTAAAATAGTTGTAAGTGGTACAGTAAGTACAAAAACACAATGCATGAAACTGTCACGATATTTACAGGGTTTTACTTACCTTTCGATTTTGGGGGCTCAGGATAGCCCAAGGATTCTAGATCCCCGTATCGATCCTTGTTAAGAACATCTCTATGTACTGGCGTATCAATATCAATAGTGAGTGATTAACACTAATATAGTATATGATAAGATTCAACTAAAATTCCACACATAATATAAGTACAGACGATCAATATATGATGATAACCCGAGTTGCAAACCACAATATATTGATTCTGCTTAACAATACCCATGAGCATAGGGTAACAGTATTAACTGATTGTCGCTAACTCCATGACAACCGTAAAAAGCTAAGCCCATCGATAGTTATCACAAGAGTGTAAGTGTAAAACCTAAAATTTACACCATTTATGTACAAATACAGAATATTAGAAATAACGATGAATTGCATATACCAAAATACTAGAAGCCTAAAGTATCACTGTGCTCACCTTGATGAGAGCTAGGCATCTCACCGCTGGGACTTTCTCCAACCCTGCAGAAAAATATCAACATGAGTAGCCAAAAGTAAAATTTATCAAACCAGGTCCAGCACAATTTATATGCAACACCAGCATGAATATAATTGTAGGAACAAACAATATAGATAAAAGAGGACCTGGAGTATTATGGATATAAATATTTCAAGAAAGCAAGAGAATTGAACAAATGTTATATAAAACCTCCAGTGTCTAGAGGCATCATAATTCATAGCAGTGTGACCACTAAATCTGGACAAAATGTTCCTTTCTCTAATAAAATTAGACAAATATCATTAAACATTGAAACATGTGACTAATCTAGTACAGGGAGGTAGTGTTATGTGCCAATAGGACAGAGAAACATCTTGGTATAGGTGGGAGAGAATCATGTTGCATTATGGGAACATAACACATTGAAAACTGCAGAGGAACTACAATGTCAGAAAACCTACAAAAGGAACAACACCCAACTATCCAGATTATAGCAAAACCTAGTCCCATAAACTGTTTGGCATAAAGAACAGCTAAATTCATTAAATCACGTATGGCAGGGAGAGAGCAGGATATGTGTCCCATTCAAAATATGCAAAACATACCAGACTTCCTTCAAAGCCTCTAACCGCGCAGCAAATCTGACCTCATGATCGAGTATACAATTCACAAGCTGGTCAAGAACTCTATCCCCTGGCACAAATACGGTTCCCTCGGTAGTGAAGGAAAGGTTCATGCCAAGAAAGTCCCCATCAAAATCAAAAAGTGGCCCACCTTCATAAACCTGGCACCAAACAGAACAGGATTACAGGCAATACTAGTTGCATTGGACAAAATAAAGTGAAATGGAACAAGAAGATATGTAGGAAAAATCATCATCTTATTGCCTCAGAGGTATAAAACAAAAGGGATTAAATATTTTTGTTGTAATGCAAGCGTGTACCTCACAGTAGTAAAAGAAAAGGTGTACCTCAGAGAATTTACAAGTGGACGACATAAGATATCCATTGTATGATTCACCAATCAATACCCCACTTGTGGTCATTAATTTGCCAGAGATATCACGGCCTAGAGCTACTACCTTGCTATGCGGTACAAATTTCTGAACATTGTTGAAAGGCACAGGACGAAGATCAGGTAAGTTCTCCACAATGACAGCAGCCATGTTGTGATCTAAATTATATTCTCTCAAAAACCCTATGACAACAGTGTCTTCATGGTGCACTTCAACCTATAATGAAGAATCAGGTGAAGAGTAAGCAATGATCACAACCAGTCAACTACCTTATGTAAGAAGAAAAAATAGTAAAGGATGATTAGCAGCACCAACCTTCAAGTTATCATGATCTTTTCTTGCGTCATTAAAAGCTTTAAGCAAGCTTGCTGAGGTCAGCAATTTTATAACATGTCCATTACGGTGTACAGCTATGCCCGAGCATACAAATAACATTGTGTTTCCTACATAAGATTGTGATTTAAATCATTCATAATTAGCGGTGTTTATATATATGCCTGGAAAAGTAAGAAGGGTATAACAGCACATATAATCACCATCGTGCAGGGCAAGTGAAACAACACTTTTGGACAGATTAGATGCAACTTCTCCACTGAGCTCACTCCAGAAGACACCTTGATTCGATTCGCAGGGCAAGTCACCTAGTTACATACAACACAACCGTGAATGCTCAGCAAGAGATATAAGAGACATGCAGAAAAGAGGAAGGACCAGCAAACCTGAAACCAAGGACTCAGCTATCTCTCCTTCATTGCAAACTATGTCCTCCTTTATTCTATGCTTCTTTGAATACGTCATGACAAAATCAGTTTTTTCATCCCTCTTCAAGTTACTTCTGAGATCATAACGACCGCTCCGCATCTTCTCAGCACTGAAGCATAAGTTTTTTTAAAAGAAAAAAAGGTGCAAAATGTGGATCAGAACAGAAAAGCAGCACCATAAAACTAACACGGATTTACTAATTAAAAGGTCACAAATATAGGTTTTATGTCAATGATGATGACTTTCCTGTAAGATCCAAAATCAACTTTACAAAAGTATAAAAGAGTAAATACTCTTCACTCAATGAGTTTGTTGGACAGGACTCAAAACAGTTACCAGAAAATATACAAATTTTAAAATCCATAATGTCATTAGAATTAAGCACAATGTTTCCTTGCAATATCTTTTTCAGACCTCCAATTCACAAGGGGTAGATCCGTAGATGTATCGGGCATAGACAACGATAATGTTGATAGGTGTCTCCAAATATTTTCTTAGCTCAACTATTGAAATTTGTACCAGCCAAGGGCGGGGCCATGGGGGTTCAGTTGGGGGAGGGGGCAACCTAAACCTAGCGTCCAAATGATGAGAAGATAAGGCAAAAAGAAAAGGTGCGGTACAACGAAAGCGAGGGATGAGAAAGAAATAGGATGTGCGTCGGTACGGGTGTGCTCACCGGAGGGCGGAGGCGGAAGCAGCACGACGACGGCACCGCTGCTCGCCTGATGGAGATCGGCGGAGGCGGCGACGAACTCGCAGGAGATGGGAGTCGAGGCCGAGGGAACGGGTAGATCGACTTGGGCGCAAAGATTCAGAGGCGAGAGTATGCGGTGGACGCCGTCGGCGCCGCCGCTCCCGATGATGGAGATCGGCGCGGGAACCCGCGGGTGAAGGGGACGGAGAGGTCGACCTGCCCCGGCTCAGCGGACAAAATGGTTCTTATGTGCAATAAGGTCCCTCGTTTTAACATCGAGTTTGATTCAGATCATTTGTAAACGATAAAGTCCATTTTAACCCCCCACAACTATTATGTTTATCTAAAACACGTCCTTTAATTTAAAACTGGATTAGCTACAGTTCGATGGTTTGGTCCTTGCTGCCTCGTTTTCTGTTTATTCATCTGATTAATCTCCATTATAACCTACGAGACAAAGTGATTAAGTATATGATTAACGAGTAATATGCTGCATATGCATTGGAGCAGTGTTGTTGTACGCATGGAGCCCGAGCAATTGCCCGTGGTGCCCGGCCGCTGCCTCCGCTCACTGGGTATGGGTGTAATATTTTACCCGCGGACACGTCCGTCTGAAATCTAAGAACATAGCGGGCAATAGTCGTATATTATTATTTTTCACGGATAACCCATGCCTGACCCGATACTTTTGTATTAGCTAATTTTAGCCCATCTCTTCATTCTTGTGCCCCTTTCTCTTGGCCCATTAGCCATATACAAACCCTAAACCTAACTCCCACTTCGCATCCTCATATTTTCGCTTATATTTATGCTTATCTGTCATAATTTAAACTAGTATGGTGGCCCGCGCAGATTGCACGGCTAGTACCGTTATATATTTTTTCACTTATTAACATATCTATTTTCACATTTTATTATTAAAATATATTAAAAATGGCAACATAATTTTTAAATTCTATATGAACTTGACCAAACTAACCAATGTGTAGTATTCATGTTGTATTGTATATATGTGATAGTTATAATTATTTTTTAATTCCTTATTTTAGTTACTCCCTCTATACCATAATATAAGGCATGATCAAACTTGACACGGTCTCTAAAACTATTTTTTATCTTATAATTTCTCATATACTATAAGGTCTGTAGTAACAAAATTATAACCATTTGAAAGTAAATCCAAATGTTAATCCAATGATATAATTTTTAGCAAGTAAAATTCAATTTATATTGTACTAAATATTGGTCAAAATGTTTTGAAGGTGGAATGTTAAAATGCGTGGACGCCTTATATTATGGGATGGAGGTTGGAGGGAGTATTTCTAAATTATATTCCTATATAGACTCTAGAGTAGTCTAGACTCCTCTTCCAATATTTCTTTTTTTTTTCAGTTTCAAAGTTCTCCTATATTCCTTTTTTTTAATTTGAAAGTTATGTTATTTCCATATTCTTTATTTTCAAATCCCGAATTACAATTATTTTTATATTGATTCTAAACTATTCTTTCCATATTCCTCATTTTTAAATTTCAAATTTCGGTTATTTCTAAATTGTATTCATGTATGGACACTATACTCTTCTTTCAATACTCCTAGTTTTTAATTACGACCTTCAATTATTTCTAAATTGTATTCCAATAGGTGCTCTAGAGTCTAGACTCTTCTCTCAATCTTTTTTTATCTTGAATTTTCGTTCTTTTTTAATTGTATTTCTATATGAACTCTAAGATATACTATTATTTTTTTTAATTTTTGACTTTCAGTTAGTTCTAAATTTGTATATGGACTTTTGACTCTTCTTTTAGTATTCTTTTCTTAAAAAAATTGAATTCCACGAAATTGTATTCCTATTTAGACTCTAGACTCTTCTTCTAATATTTTTTATCTTTAACTTCGAATTTTAGTTATTTCTTTATTGTATTTCTATATGGACTCTAATCTCTACTTTTAATTTTCTAATTTTTTTATTTATTCTGATTTTTTATTATTTCTAGTTTTTATGCCTATATGGACCCTAGTCTCTTCTGCCAATCTTGTTTATTTTTAGTTTTGATTTTTTGTAATTCTAAATTGTATTTCTATATGGACTATAAAGTCTACTTTTAATTTTCTTATTTTTTTAGTTCTAACTCTGTTTTAGTTATTTCTTTATTGTATTCCATATGGACTTTAACTCTATATTTAACTTTTTTTCATTCCAAATTTCAATTATCTCTAAATTGTATAACTATATGGACTCTAGTCCCCTCTTCCAATATCCCTTATTTTTTAATCCTGAATTTCAGCTATTTTTCAAATTGTATTTATAGATAGACTATATTTTTTTCTTTTCTCCGAGTAATATGAGAATTTATAGGCTGTGAGAGCGAACGTGGAGGCTCCTGTATTTATATGTGGACTCTTTTTTAGTTTTATTTAGTTTTACTTATGAATTTCACATAGTTTGAATTGTATTTTCTACTTTTCACTTGAACTCTCATTTTTTTTCTTTTCTAAAAATTGTATTCTTAATGACTCTCTCAATTACTATTTTTTTTAAAAAAATCCATTTTCTATAATATTTTTTGAATCTTAATTATAGGTATTTATAAATTATATTTATACCTATATTATTTTGAGACAAATTATAGAGGCTAGAAGTTGATATATTTTGGGACGGAAAGAATATTATTTAGTTCTAATCCAACTTCAAACTATTTTTATATAATACTCATACATGAACAATTTTTTTCATAATATTTATTTTCTCTCTCCAAATTTTAGGTACTTATTCTCTTAATATTATCTATTTTTTGCCTAAATTGTATTTCTAAAGGTACTTTTATCTCAATATTAATTATTTTTAAATTTTAATCCGAGTTTCGGATATTTCTAAATTGTACATCTACGTAGACTCTTCTCTAATTTTTATTTATTTTTTTATTCTGAATTTTAGATGTATTGAATTGTTGACCACGTGGTTCTGTTTGGACTCTTTTTTTCTCTAATTATTATGGATTATATTATGGGAGTTTCTAGGAAGTGGGAGCTAACATGGTGGCCCTTTTTCCTATTACATTAAGATAATATAGATATATGGATAAATACAACAGGGGAACCGTATCCTCTGACATTATATAGTAATGTCACAGTGTGACATTCCTTAATCCGCTCCATCCATTCTAAATCAATGGCCACATATTAATTGCTATCTAACTAATCAAACTAATTAACAGATTATGTAGGTGTGTACTTAATAGGTGGGAAGGAATTTTTTTTTGTTAGCACTAAAGCAGTATCCTCATCTTCATTAAACATTAACCCATCGGCTTGTATATTCAGAATTGCGCCGTTCTGACGGAGATACCTAATTATCATCATGTGCTAGTAACTTGCGGATTCTTCCACCAGTCAACAACGATGTTTGTCTCTTGAAAATGCAATATTTGATCTAGGGACAATTTATAACTACACAATCCACTAATTAGTTTGATTAATTGCATGCCAAATAATCTATGACTGTTGATTTAGAATGGATGGTGTGGATTTTTGAAAGAATGTCACACCATGACATTATTGTGTAATGTCAGAGGATACGGTTCCACTACAACAGGAGTCTGCACATCTGAACCCGTCATCAGAGATTCGATTTGTTGCAACGGAGAGAATAGAGATAAACAGTGAGCCAATATTGGATAGTACCTGTCACATACATGCACGCTTGTGATTTGTGCTGTACACGGTTACTGTAGCCAGCTTAGGTAATTTTTTTCTTCATTGTCCAATCGGACATTGCACACATAAAACGTGATTTTTTTCTAAAAGGAAAAAGAAAGATTAGGTTTTCCTTTTTTTTTTGTTTTGGACAGATTGTCCGATTCGAGTTTCATAATATGCCTTTTTTTTCTTTCTTCAGTTTTTAACTAATCCTAATCTAGTTCTATTTTTCTTTTTTCTTATTTTTTGGATTAATGTGAGAATTTCTAGGTCGTGAGAGCGAACGTGGAGGCTCCTTTTTCTATTACTTTATAGATATAATAAAATTTCAACCTTAAATTTAGAGTTCATTCTGGGTTTATTTTATCGAAGTTTATTTTTCAGCCTTTAGTTTTTGATCGTTAAGAACATGCATATAAAATTTTTATTTATAAATTATTTTTGTTTATAAATATGTCATTTGGCTTATTCCCCGACCAATCAACTAGAGCAAATTCTACATAAATATCACTTACATTACACATGAACAAATATTACGTCAAATCTGGTCATTATGGTCAATACCAAGCGGAATTTGGCCGGAATTGGCCAGTATTATTTGCACCGGGAGTATGCCGCTCGCTGTATACCCTTTTAATTAAGAGGTCTTTTACAGTGCTTGGAAGGTACCTGAGGTACCTCTTAATGAAGTGTTATCCACCGTTAATCTTCAAAGGGTAATTTAGGAACAAAATTTTTTACACTGCACAAATCCATTCACCAGGAAGGCAAAGGGTAATGGGTACTCGAGCAGGTCGATCATGCACATTGATGAGACAATCAAAATCGATCGAACATCTTGAATGATCGAACTAACAGCAAGGCAGTCAATCTCATCTCAGGTTCGGATCATCAAATTAATCAGAAGTTTCAGAAGCACAAGGGCCTCAGGCTGTCAGGCAGCCGAGATCACAGCTACAGGATACGAAAGAAAAACGACACCAACTGACCAACTAGTGATGAAGCGATCAAGCGAACAATCCAATCCTGCAGATAGATTGACCAGATCGATCACCGGAGATCTCAAATCAATTGACGCGGCCCTAATCAGAACACCTCCTCCCGCGCCATCCGCCATGGCGATCATGGAAACGAGGTCCACCGCTTTTGCCATTTACCGAAAAATAATTTAATGAAAATCAATTACTCCTTTCACCTTTCGTACCTGGCCCACTCCTTTAATACCTTTTTTCTAGTACCTTCTCTCTCTGTCCGTTAGATCATTATTGATCAAGGGTTCTAATTAATTTAAAGCATTCCAGAAGATCTCTTTAAGATTATGTAGGTGGCGAAAGGATACATACGGGCTATTCCGGGCAATACATTTATGTTGTTGAGTTCGTTTTAGAGTTTGGCAATGACAATTTCGTGACACAGAGAACAAGACAAAACCATTATAAACTTACTTTTGTAAGTTTATTTGATCTTTCGAAGAAATAACAGTTCTTATATAGGAATACACTGTTTAGCAGTTTCGAAAACGTGCTAATGGAAAACAAAAAAGTTACACATGCCAAACATCCCGTGGGTTAAAAAAATGAAGATATAATATGGTATGATTATACGTTTGCATTGCTTGCTGATGCAGGTAGGGTATATTGGTATGCACTTCCTTCGCTTCAAAGGCCGTGTTTAGTTTCAAAGTTATTCTTTAAACTTTCAACTTTTTCATCACATCAAAACTTTTCTACACACAAACTTTCGACTTTTCCATCACATCGTTTCAATTTCAACCAAACTTTCAATTTTAGCGTGAACTAAACACACCCAAAATGTAGATACCTTTTGGGTTTAAATATGAACTACTCCGTTCAAACCTTCATTTCAAAATGGAATATAGATGCCTTTTGGGTTTAAATTTGGACTAGTAGCAGCATATACGCTCGGTGCACCATGGACCAGGCAGGCTGCAACGTCACTGTGCAGAGTAGAGTACAGAGCAGACCAATAGGCAACGGACCGAATCAACACACACATATCAGGTCAGAAGATGCGGGTTCACTGTTTCCATGGGGACAGGGCATGGAGGCCAGCTGCAACGAGTAAAACAGTGACACGTAGCTTTGGCACCTCGCCCAACCCAATGTTTCCTTCCTGGAGACGGGGGTGGAGAGTGGGAGAGAGAGCGGAGAGACCAAGCCGAAACCCCAAAACCAAAACCAAAACCAAAACCCGGACCCAGGCAGGCGGAGAAAAACCAAGGACAAGGAAACCCCTTCCCTTTCCTGGAGAGCACGGGTGATGGAGAGTGGAGAGAGCAAGCCGAAACCCCCAAAACCCTCCTCCACCTCGCCGCTGCGCGCTATGTCCTCCGCCGCCGGGGACCACCTAATCCTTGGCCCTCCCGTCGCGGGCCTCCCCGTCGGGAATGCGTCGTCGTCAGCCGAAGCGGGCTCCACCTCCACCGCGGGACATGTCGCAGGCGCGGAGGTCGTCGAGCACTTGCAAAGTGGCGCCTTTGGCAACCCCTGCCTTAGTTTCTTCGCCCTCGTCGACAGGGACACGCCGCCCCAGCACCTCCGCGACCTCCTCGCCGCCGCCTGGGAGCACGATGCCCTCACCGCGCTCAAGCTCGTCTTCAACCTCCGCGGCGTGCGCGACAACGGCAAGGGCGACAGGGAGGGATTCTACACCGCCGCGCTCTGGATGCACCAATACCACCCACGCACGCTCGCCGGCAACCTCTCCGCGTTCGCCGAGTTCGGCTACATCAAGGACTTCCCCGAGCTTCTCTACCGCATCATCCACGGCGCTGATGCACGCAAGGTCGCTAAGGCCAAGTCCAAGGCCTGAGGGGGCGACCTCGCCAGACTGAGCGGCCGGAAGCGCGCCCGCGACGACGACGACGACCCTACGCCTGCGGCGTCTACCGATGCGGTCCAGGTCCAGCCCCAGCCCCAGCCCCAGCCCCAGCCCGACCACTTGCTCGCCGACGCCGTCAACCTGGAGACAGAGGATGTCGTGGGGGAGGCGCCGGTGAAGGGCAGCCCCAGCAAGAAGGTGCTCAAGGCGGCCCGCCTCGCCAAGTTGGCCATGAAAATATACCATGAAGATGACAACTATCGTCTCCTCTTCAACTCCATCACCAGTTTCTTTGTGGACAAAACCTCCGCTCCGATCTCGAGCACCACAAGTCCGGCAAGCTGTCCAAGATCGGGCTCACCGCCAAATGTTGTCCCTCACCAGACTCGTCCTTCGACCAATCCACATTGTTATGTGAGGCCATCGCTCGCGGTCTCTTTCCACGCGAATCAGACGCTAGCTACGCCAACATGAAAGAGAAGCATTACATCTTCCTTGTGCGCCGCCGTCTCCGCCGCGAGGTTCTCGTGCCGCTGCGTAAGGACCTGGAGCTGCCCGAGATTTATATGTCCAAAAACCAATGGTCTGATCTGCCTTACGAGCGCGTGGCCTCAGAGGCCATGAGGATTTACGAGCACTTGTTCAAGAAGCACGATGAAGGGCGCTTCACGGCGTTTCTCAAAGACCACAAAGATAGCCGCGAGGCCGCCAAGCACAAGGCAAAGAAGGCGGCGCCCCAGCCACCCCTTCTGCAAGACATCATTACCTCGCTTGGCCTGGCATCGCATGCCAGCAACATCAAACGAAGGGAGGATGCTGCTCAGCAGTGGCGCACTTTGGTCGATCATCTCCGTGGGAAGGGATCTCTGTGCAATTGTATGGCGGTCTGCGACGTCAACAAGGGGGGGCTGGTCAAAAGTGAAGGCCAGAAGTTGTTGAAGATCTGTGTGGGGCTTGGATTCTTAATCTCTGAACTCAGTTCGCCTCCATGGACGAACTCGGTGCATGCCTTCGCTTCAAACTATTTCCCTCTTGTGCTTCCTGTTGGCAGCTATCGGGAAAAGTTGAATTTTATTCGCCAGATGCCTTGCGAAGAGAGGTTTAACCTAAAGAAGGTGTTTGAGGGGATAATTACAAGGGCAGTAACGAGTGGTGTTACCCCGGACAATATGGTGAAGACCATATTCATATTCACAGACAAGTTTTTTGAGAAGGCATCAGTGCGTCCGGTTGAGCTGATTGAACATGAAGATTTTAATCCATTGTCGTCGCGTCCGTGGCATGAAGAATATCGGAGGGTGTGCGAAGAATTCAAGAGGGTAGGCTTTCAGGACGTGGTACCTCAGATCGTACTGTGGAACCTTAAGGGGCCACGCTCTGCAGGCTTAACCGCAACTAAGGATGGAGTCATGACACTTAGTGGATACTCGGATGAGTTGATGAGATTGTTTCTTGAGAACAATGGGGTGGTGGAGCCGGAAGATGAGATGCTTGATGCAATTGCTGGGGACGAGTACCAGAAACTTCAAGTGATTGATTAGGATAACTGGTCTAGAGGTTTGAGATTATATGAGTGACTAGGAGATCTATGTTTATCCTGACTCAGTAATACCTTTTTTGTGTTGGATGCATGAAATGTGACTTCTGTTCGTGCTTAATTAGTTTCTCGTATGCACTCATTTTCATCTATTTGTTTAAATGCAATGCTCCATTTGGTTGCGGAAGTTTTAGTTTTTAGAAGGGATTGAGAGTATGGAATGATGGTTATTCTATTTAGTTTGAGGAGCTACAAGTTATAGTAGAATAAGGATGAAGAATTAAGAAAGGAACTCCATACTCTTTAATAGTAGTAAGGTAGGGGGTGAGAGTTGAAACGAAATTAATTACTTCTTTAAGTTTCCTAAGAAAATCTTAACCATATATTTTCACTTAAAATCCCGTCTCTATCTCAATTTGTTCGCATCATCTCTACCAAACAAAATAATAAAATTAAGAATCAAATTCTCATATTAATCTCACCAATTCTCTCATCTAAACTCTTAATTCTCTTCCCTCGATTTATCAAACAAGTTCTTTTCCAAGTGTTCCTATACGCGTCACTTCTGATATGGGTGTGACGTTTGTTCTTATACTAGTATTATAATTTGGTGATAGTGTAGTCTGATTATCGAAGATATGGGTGTGCTGATGTTTGTTTTTATGCTACTTGGTGATACTGTAGCTAGTCTGATCATCGAAGAACTAAAAACAAACATTTATATCTTAACTCAGTAATTAGCACGGCTCAGTTTGCTATAAACGGTGATTTTTTTTTTTACTGAAACAGAAAAGGTTAATTTACATCGACCAAAGGAACATCACGATTTTGCAAGCCAGCTGAAAATTAATGCTTATATCTCAAGCTCGTCTGTTTGGACAGATTAGGACCTGTAACCTTACGGGTTGACTGACACAAAGTTACTGCAAGATGGTGATTAGACAGAAATTAACGATAGTTATACTCATTTGACTTTTTCGCAGTATTGTTTTTCCATAACTATTTATGACAGGCATCTTCTGTAAATATTTTAAATGACTTACTGAACGCATACATTGTCATAGAAAAAATGGACATCTTGGTAATGTTTTTATTTCATCATAGAACAAAGCGAATTTCCTACTGTTCTATTATAAAAATGGAGATACCACATATTACCGCTGTTCCAGATCGAAGGCATGGTCATCCTCATCTACTTCTGTTCCAGATTGAACTGTACAGGGCCAACCTTAAATGAACGCTGGAGATTGCAACCGCCAGGTGTTCATGGCACTGTAATTCCCAGTACACATACAACTTTACACCTCCCGTGGGATAAACTAACAAAAGTGGCTAATAGCTTCTTCCCACTAGGTAGATCATCATCATAAGGCCCGCCATCATCTGTTTCATGATTCATCTTTCTCGCAAGTATCTTATTAATTTTGTGGAGATCATTTGTGAGCTTCTGGTCCTTGTTCTGCTTCCTCGTCTTCCTGCAATCCTGCATTTCCCTCCAAACAGGAATGCAGCCTTTGGCATGGCTTCCGGTCGTTATATTTGGCCCACTCCTCAGTCCCACCTATGCAATAGTACAACACTTAGAATGAGGTATGGAAATATAGGGCAAAAGATGAAAACGGTATATCAAATATGAGCTCAAGAAATCCGCACAGCAAGGGAAACAGGCAAAAGGTAAGGACAGATTCACAGAATACAGTACCCATGTCCATCTTCGACTAATCATCCTCATCATCGCTCCCTGAAATAAAATTAGGATCTTTCTCCATCCAGTGCATCCTCTTCCCTTAGCCGCTCAAGCCTTCAATTATCATGTTTGAAACAGAACCAAAGAACTCTTTATCTGCTTGAGTTATCAAGCTTTGGTTCCTGGGATATAGATGGGTCTGCTTTGTTGCATGTACTGTTCCGGATAGGCCATCTGTTGCTCACCAAACTGATAGCCTGACAACTCTTCTTGATATCCAGCAGTTACCATTCGGACTTGAACAGTATCGTTTCCAGTGACATCAGAAGAGACGTTAACTTTTATGAGATACAGGTCAAGATAGCACAAACTAATAGTTAATGGCAATTTCAGTATAAGATCATGACCATGGGCAAAAAAATATTTAGTTTGTATCAATCATTCAACGTGCATAGTTCAAATTTAATTTGGTTTGTCTCAAACTTCCAACATGCAAAATTCAATTTTTACATGTAGCATTGTGGAACCGAAGTTACTGAACATTAGTGGGATTACCGGTTGTGGCCAATCTTGAGCAGGGTCAGATGGTGGGACGGGCTTGTAGACAGGTTCAGCAAAACAGGATTGCTTCTAATGGTTATGTGGAGACTCATCCATACCTTCAGAGACAAGGCTGATTTATTTGTTAGCAGAATAGTCAACTTCATCTCCAACAAAATTGTAATCTTCATCTTCTCTAGCAATAGGCTGTTTCTCACTCCTGCTGAAATATGAAATTATTATTTTGAAGGGGTGGTGGCGACAGCATATGCTTTTGAACTTGATGTTTCAGAGTAGAACCTAGTTTGGCCAGGTCCAGCTACCTCATCGTAGTATAGCAAGCATAACAAGAATCAAGATACCTAACTTCAACAAGCAAAGCAAGTGTATATGGATGAGAAAGTACATACATTACAAATAAATTAAGCCAAATAATTAATTAACTCATGCAGAATATAAAGCAAACGAGTAAGATATGGCCATAAATTATTCATTAACAGAACTTGCTTCCCTGTTTCCCTGAATCAGCAAAGAACAAAGCTAGTAGGACTGTAGCAGTACACAAAATACCCAAAATTGAACCAGCATCGAACAAAGCCAGTAGTAGTACATAAATACCAGGAGTTTAATTCTTGACAGAAGATTAGGGAATAATTGAAACAAGACTCAACCATCTTGGCAAAAAGTATAAAATTATACTTTCTATATTGCTCAAAATATAAACACTCAGATTCCAAACAAATTATTTCAGTATATTTTCACATACTCTCTTAACCAAGAACATTTTCCTATTGTCAGTTAGTTTTTTAATCAACTTCCGCTACACAAAATGCATTTTAATTTTCAAGTAACATACCTTGAGTCCCTTTCCTTTATCTTTTTCTTTAAGACTTCCCCAGATGATCCAAGTCAAAGGTATGACATGATTTTAGCAATCCTGTCAAGTACAGAACCATCCACACTGACAGTAACCATCTCCCGAAGAAGCAAGAAGAATGCCGAGGAAAACAATAATATTCAGGAAATCTCAACGTGGTATATGATGTATTTCCATAATACCTCTGGAACAGGGCAATCAGCTTTGCTCCTGTGAAGAGTTGTCGGAATATCATTGGTAAGTCCATCCTCCTGGTTTCATTAATGAAATTAATCACCCTACCACTTAAACCAATAGTTCAAATCAAAGAAGCGAATGATGAAAAATTCTTTCATCATTCATATCTTTCTTCTCTTGTTTGCATGTTATGAAGTGAAGTGGGAGCTTGAGCATGTTGATCGTACTGCACTCCAGGTTAAAGCAGAGAAACAAACAACAAAACACATCATAGAATGCAACATAGTCATGCAATATGAGTACTGTAAAAGCCAATAAACACAAGCAATGCTATCATTTACATGCTAGTATAGAATAGATAAATTAGAAATTGAAATAGCAGTAATGTTTTTTTACAATATAAAAGCACCATGGTTAGTACAGATGAACATGGATGAGTGATGAAAATAAAATGAAGGAAAATGGGAGAAGAGCCAATGCCTATAATTTGCACTTCGCTCTACATGACTATTCTGTCTGCAGTAACATGTAATCAACCACACACTCACGCGCATGCAATCATGTAAGCACTAAAAATGGGAACATTTGAAGGAGCTACCATATTGTAAATAAATGTCATGCGATCAGGAAGAAGCATTTCATTTAACTTTATGATGCTTTGTGGCTTTATGATCCATTGATAGACGTAGTGCAATGAACCAAGAATGGATTTAGTGTCCATATTATATTATATGGTCCATCACATAAGAAGCAAACATCAATTAAAACTAAAAGGAAATATACCTTTACAGTTGCCGTGCTGAATGAGATGCCTGATCTTCTTTTGTTGCCCTCAACAACACAAGTGCACAGGCTAAATATATAGACCATCTACTTAATAACTAACTTACAAAGGTGTCTGCGTCCAGACAAGGGTGAAGGACATGAGGCGATAATTTCATATTGGTATAGCTCAAATCAAGAGATGCATGCAACCAATTATTGTATTATTCTACAAGGTGGTAATGATGATCCTCACAATAGTGTACATGAAATAATGTTTCACTAAGAATGATCCAGCAGCCACTGTAAAACATATGTCTCATTTTTATCACTCGGAATAAAAATAAAGAAGGCATTAAAGAAGCATCACCATACAAATCCAACTACTTAGTTGTGCATAATGCTCTCAAGAAACAGGTTGGAAGAATCATGAATAACAGAATAATTTGGCTTGGCAGTCCAACAAGAGAAAAATGGATCTCTCTTAATCACCTCCAATTAAAGAAAGAGGACTGGCCCTAAAAGAGGTTGACAACTTGTTGTGTCATAAATAAACAATGGAATCAACTCCGTAATTTCCTATACTGAAGAAATATGACAGCAGTAATCACTCTTACCAATATATTACAGCATTTGAAATGAACCATGAATCTGACAGGTTGTCCACAATACTACGGATTCTAAACTATCAAGAAAAGGTATGATCAAATGGTATGGAACACTGAGACTAAAACAATAGTATGGTGGGGAGTACCTTGGCTGTGTATCTTTCCCACCCTCTGTGTCAGGCCTACTTTTCTATTTCACTTAGTACTTTGTGAAGTAGAGCATAGTCCAATCCAATGACCAGATGTGTATTTGCATATCACCTTTAAAACACAAAAGGTGAAAATTAAATGTCAATCAACATGGTAGTTCAAGCATCTGAGTCTTCATTTTCACAAGAATATATCATATGCTCTTAGAAAAAATGTCCAACTACAGTATCCACCATTAATATTCAGCTCTGCATAACTGACTGACTCGGTCCAAATACCAAGTACACACTAGCC